AATTAAAAGGACAAATAGTTCATGGTTTTGGTTATTTTGTTGAGTGTTGAGGTGAACGTTTCAAGTTTCCGCATATATTATTGGTATACGAACAATTCAAGTTTCCTTTGCAAGTATTGGTATAAGAACGCTTCAAGTTTCCTCTGCTATTATTGGTATAAGAACGTTTCAAGTTTCTTCTACCAGCATTGCTAAAAGAATGCTTCAAAATTCTTCTGGTATTATTGCATATGAATGCTTCAAGTTTCCTCTGGTATTATTGGTATAAGAACGTCTCAAGTTTCCTCTAGTACTATTGGTACAAGAACGTCTCAAGTTTCCTCTGGTATTATTGGTATAAGAACGCTTCAAGTTTCCTCTGCTATTATTGGTAATAGAACGCTTCAAGTTTCCTTTACTTTTATTGCTGTAAGAATGCTTGAAGTATCCTCTGCTGCTTAATGTTTCTTATGCTATTATTGGTAATAGAACGCTTCAAGTTTCCTTTACTTTTATTGCTGTAAGAAAGCTTGAAGTATCCTCTGCTGCTTAATGTTTCTTATGCTATTATTAGTATAAGAACGCTTCAAGGTTTCCCTGCTATTATTGGTATAAGAACAGTAGAGAGTAAAGATAAAGGTATGGGATAGATAAGGGTATTGTAAAGGAGAATAGAAGAGAAGGTTAGATTCAATTTAACCCTTGGATTCAAACAATGAAGCTTAAACTTGATAAAATTATCTTTTCCAGACTCTCCAAGTTCATATCCGAAAGAACGATCAGGTCTTAGATAAGAATAAGCATTTTTTTACTACGAAAAATAAGAACTGTAAAAATAGTTTTAATTAAGAAAAAAGAAAATAAAAAGAAAAAGGATGGATAATAAAAGAGAAGATAGTTAGAAGAATTGTAAAAAATAAAAAATGGATTACAAAGACTTTTGTAAAAAGTGATAATTAAAAAATACTTAAATTAAGAATCAAAGAAACTCTTAAAACCAAAAAGATATTTAAGATATTTCTGAACCAGCATTTATCTATCTATCTATTATCTATCCATCTATCTATCTGGACTGAACTGTGTAGTTTAGATAACCCTTGAGCTAATGTTGGGTTTAGAGGATTATTTGCCACTAATTTAGCACAACCCCCAGACCATACAGTGTGAATACAGATTTAGAATTAACTGCTGGGATACATGTAATGACTGTCGGAAAAGGGAAAGAAAGAGGGGAACTAAAAGGAGATGGAGGAATAAATGTAAGGGGAGGGGCTAAGCAAGGATAATAACAAGACAGTACTTCTTATACTAGGGGAGCTTAATAAAAAGACAGTGCTTTCTTATACTAGGGGAGCTTAATAACAAGACAGCACTTCTCTTATACTGGGGGAGCTTAATAACAAGACAGCACTTCTTATAATAGGGGAGCTTAATAAGAAGAATACAACTCAGATCAAAATTTTAAACAAACTCCGAACAAAGAATATTATTATTAAAATCGAAATAAAATCAATGATTAAATTGTTCCCAAAGGAACTGAGTTTTTGTCACAAACTCTACTTTTCTAACCTCTATATCTTTGCTACCCAATGTCGTAGACCTTTGATATTTCAAACTATGAATTCTGTTAGACCAAATAACTTAAGTTTGAAATATCAAAGGTTTACATCATCAGATTTTAATAATATAGGGATTAGACAATTTGATTTTGTGACAAAAACTCAGTTCCTTTGTGGATTAGTAACAAAACGACGTCTACTACAGCTCAAAGATGGTCCTAAGGCCCAGAACCATAAAAAAAAAATTCTGATTCTTGGAAAAATCAAGATAAGAAAACATTGATATCTGGTTTTTTGACAAATTTAAAACAAAAACTTATTTAATTATTTAGTGAATATGATTACCAATGTTAAGATCATCATAAAGATAAAGATCGAGATCGACAAGACCTAATTGTCCAATGTTAATTAAAGAACAAATAATGTCATTTGAAGGATCAAATTTTTTTTAATTCATTGAAACTTTAACAAGACAAGAAATTAGTTGCAAATCAGACATGGCACTCTTTAGTGGAGAATTTATTGAAATTATATATTTAACAAGAAATAAGTTGCTTAGATTAAGTTCAAGAATACAAACCCAGAAATAGTTAAGATCTTCGATCTAAGATCTGAAGTTCCAAATAATTTGAAAAAACTTGTTATATTACCGAGCAAAACATATTTAAATAGATGTAAATCCTGTTGAATAATTATATTTGGGTTCATGTTTTTCAAGGATTACATGAATCTTATGCTTTTAACAAAGTTTTAATCTTTGGTTTCTTTTCAAATTTTCCTAGATTTGCGAGGGATGGAGAGTAAGCCGGGATCACCAAACTTTAGTAAAAGATCTCAGGGGCGCTTCAGAGGTTGAAACCCAGTTTGAAAGCATGGAATATTTTCACGGAATTTTTTTTTGAGAGTTTACTGAGTACTCACTGAGTAAGGTTCCATCCACCTCTGTATACTCCTGAGTAAGGTTTTATTCATCCATTTATACTCCCTGAGTAATGTTCTATCGTTTCCTGTATACTTCCTTAGTAAATTTATATCCCTCCCTGTATACTCCCTAAATAAGTTTCTATCCTTCCCTGTATACTCCCTGAGTAAGGTTCTATCCCTCCCTAAATACTCCCTGAGTAAGGTTCTATCCCACCATGAATACTCCCTAAGTAAGGCTCTATCCCTCCGTGTATAATACCTGAGTAAGGTTCTTCATGCTCCCAGAATACTCCCTGAGAAAGGTTTTATCCCTCCCTGAATACTCCCTAAGAAAGGTTCTGTATACTCCCTGAGTAAGGTTCTATCCCTCTCTAAGACTGGATTAAAGTTTGAACCTTCTCTTGATCCTGCCAATGATTCAAAGTTTTCCAACCCCGGACAAATGAACAGATTTTCAGGTTTAAGATCCAATAAAACTTTGGGAAAAACAAGAAGATATTTTAAATTATTCTTAAACCCTTAAAACTAGAACCGGTAATTTTAGAGAAGACATTTAAAATTCATAATTCGAGGTTTACACAATTTTTTTAAATTATAAGTTGTTAACGGCATAATTCTTGTTTATTCTCGATGTTGATGCTGATCCTTCTAAATGCACAAGTCAATTTTATATTGAAACCAAAATGAAAATAATCAGTTTTGAAAAGCAAGAACGAAAACACGGATATCTATTTAATACTTGACTTTCAATTAAGAGTCATTTAAAATTACGTTCACACAGTTCCTCTACAAAATAAACATGATAAATTAGTTTATTTAAAATCTATTTTGTTAATTCATTTGGACGTATTATCTAAATCTTCTGTTAGAGTCAAAATTATGAATAGCGTAATAAAAGTAAGCTTGAAAAGTGTTTAAGCAACTATTTACAGGAAACCAGAATAAAAGCATTTTTTAAAAATAAAACTTAGAAAAAACTGAATTTAGACTTCCAAGTTAGTTACTTTTTTTACGTATATGTTTACTACTTCTTAAACTCTACTAGACATTAAACTAACCACGTATATGTTTACTACTTCTTAAACTCTACTAGACATTAAACTAAACACGCTAAAGGACTAATCCAAATTCTTTAGTTTGAAGTATTTATCTTTAAAAGAAATAATACCAAAACCATTTTAGATTGCAAGAGTAATATCAATTATTTTTATACGTCAAGGGAAGGTTATTTGAATTGGATGACCCATAATTAGTTAATCAAAATTGTAAATATTTGGAGGAACGCGTGATAACGAATTAAATTTTTTTTAGCTACATTTTATTTTTATTATCGCAATGTCAATTAAATTTCACAATTGTTTCATTCAATTTGGGTAAGTTATAGAGTTAATGGCTTTTTAGTAGGGTCATGGAAGGCAATTATAAAAGTACTTATGCATAAATGACAGAACACTTACATGCAATATGTTAAGTTAGAAGTTACTTCTGTTCTAATTTAATTGTTAAGTTTGCGTATTTTGTGCATCTATATGATATAATTTTATACAAACCAGTTTAATATCAATGGAAAAACCAGTTAAATATCAATGCAAAAACCAGTTTAATCTTAATGCAAAAAAAAGTTTGAGCACAATGCTTTACATATTGCCGATGTTTACAAAATTTAAAAAATCATTATTCTAATTTTCTTAAATACATATCTATTACTTTTCCTGTGATTGCCGCTACCGGAGATATGGCGGTAAATCCAACCAACCCGGAGAATCCTCTAAACCTTTCTATCCAACCCTATCCTATCCTCCTCCAATCCTCCAATCCTCCGCTCATCCCCGGAGCCCCAGATCTCTGATTAACCGGTCATAAAGAATCCAGAGTTTAATTCTTCATCTCAGTAGATATCCTTCATTCCTTCGGTAGAGAGAAAGAGAAAGGATATATCAGGTTAGAAGGGTGTCCTGATACTAGGTTGTATAAACAGGGTGTCACAATACTAGGTTGGATATAAAGGGTGTCCTAATACCAGGTTGGATATACTGGGAGTTTCAATACTAGGTTGGATATATAGGGTGTCCCAATACTTTGTCGGATACACGGTATCCCAATGATTTAATTTGTCGGATACATATGGTGTCCCAATAATGTACCAATGTGCAGAGTGTCTCAAAAACAAAATAAAGGCTTAGTTCTCAATTCTTTAACTTTTTTAGATCTACAGCTGGTATATTTCTACTTCATCGTTGGAAATATACTTTACAATGTATACTCCTACCTACGTAAAATTTACTCAAAAATAACTGAGTTTTTGCCACAAACTCGAATTCTCTAAAATCTATCTATTTGCAACCGGATGGTGTAAATCTTTGATTTTTCAAACTTAAACTATTTGATCCAACAGAATTCATAGTTTTATAAAACCTAAGGTCTGTGGCATTGGGTTGCAAAGATATAGGAATCAGAGTTTGTGGCAAAAACTCAATTCCTTTGTATTTTGGCTAGAAGTATCGACAGAAAAACAAATCTGATTTATTTTCTAGCTCTGATGGATTTTAAAGCAGCGTTGAAATCCTTTGCTGAAGCCTGGGCCCTGGCTCAAGTTCAAAACTTGAACGGAGATCGACCGCTAGCGGAATTAATTACACCGACATCTTCCGCTACTCTCTTAACGGAAATACTTCCGAAACTTTCCGCGAGTTCTTCTCAGGTTTGTTGTATCATAAAACGGAAAATTTTAAGCTCTTTGTACCTTTCAGGATCTGTTTAAATAAAAAATATATCAAAAAGAGCGAGCAATTATTCCTAAAAAAAAGATCAGAAAGATCTAAAACATTTGAGGAAAAAAAGACAATTTCTTACTAAATCTGTTAATGAAGTTTATCTACAAATAATTCTGATAAATCTATAAAAATATAAGAAATGTCGAAAGAGTTTAATCTGAAGAATAAAAATAGCAATAAGATTTGCTGTACTCTGATCTCGGATAAAAAACTCATAAATTGCTGGTTTAAACTTATCTAATTCCAACACTCAGATATAACTCAGACCATCTATACTAGGCTTATCCACAACCATAGAGCTAACTTTTAAGATTATTTTTTTTTAACTACTTATGGAGTATCTAATATAAAATATATAGAACTAGGTCGAGAATTGTAAAGCTAAATTTTAATAAAGACAAAAATGTCAAATAGCTTTCCAACTTATCAGTAGCAGTATGGCTCAAAAATTAGTTAATTTCAACAACAAAAATTATTTTTTGATTATCTGATTTAGATTTTTTTTATAATTTTCATTATTGATGGAAGAAAAGGTATTTACGAATTAAGTGATAAACTTACTGAAATGTCTATTTAAGTAAATCAGGAAAATATCTCAGATCGAATAAGATTTTAACATTGAACACAAAAGCTTAAGAAAAGTGATTTTAAGTTTTTGAAATTCTCCTGACCACAAACAAGGTTTTAAAAGAAATTGTGTCTTTGCTACAAACTCTGACTTTCTAATTCCTATATCTTTTCAACCCAATGTCGTAGACCTAGATATTTCAAACTATAAATTATGTTAGATCAATTAATCCAAGTTTGAAATAAAAAAAAGAGAGATTAGAAAATTCAGGTTTGTGGTAAAAACTCTGTTTCTTTAGGTTTAGTGCTGAGATCTGAGAAAGAAAAAGATTTAATGACAAGTTTAAGTAACTTCGTAGTTTGCTATGAGATCTCCTGATCAACAGGTGGAATCCTCCGTTTATCCAGGATCAGTTCAGAGCTTGGACTCTCCTGTATGTAAACTCTACCCTGGAGATTAAACCTAGCATGCAAACTAAACCCTCCGAGAGAGATTATAGAGATCTGATTTATATTATTGTTTTAAAGGAACACAATTCAAGAGAATAGTTAAAGGAATTGTATAAACTATGAGATTATGGTGTATGTTGAAAGGAGAATCGAACTGTGTTTACGAATCAATATTGGAACATCTACTTATATATTTATAGCAAAGGAATCGAGTCTATGCCACAAATTTTCTAATTCCTTTATCTTTGCAACCCAATTTCAACCCTAGTATATTTCAAGTTTGAATTCTTTAGAATAAAAATCTAAGCTTGAAACATGAATTGTTTAAACCATCCGGCTGTTTAAAGGTGTCGTAAACCATCAGGTTGTTTAAAGGTGTCGAGATTAGAAAATCTGAGTTTTTGGCAAAGACTGAATTTCTTTGAGATAAATCTTTTGGCAATATTTTTGCCAAAAATTAGGAGAAATTCCCTCAACCTTCTGTTATCTAATTCTAACAAAATATTCGACATTTATTCGATATTACTGTAAACCAAAATATTCGAGGGTTTCTTTTAATAGAAATGAACAAAATACAAATTTAAAAAATTAATGAGCATGTTTTCTTTCTTTTGAAATAATGCAAAATCTTTTTGAAAAAAAACATGCTTGAAATATTTTTACACCGCTCAGATTTTGAGGACACCCTATCAATCCAAGAAACCGACGTGGTTATGGCAAAAAAAACTGATTAATGATATATGCCAACAACGCAAATCTCAGTTTGCAAATATTACTCTATATAGCACTCAAATATTTTAAGTGTTTTTCAGAACCAAAATTTTAAAGAGAATTTCTCTAAAAAGTTAATTTCAGTAATGTAATAAAACGTATTGCTAGTTTGTTCCTTATCTAGAGAAATAGTTAAAAATTGCTATGTGGCGTTTAGAAAAATTTAAAAATGAATATGATCAAAGATTGTTTAGGAAACTGGAGAGCTGCAGAGAAGAGAAGAAGTAAACAAGGACCAAAAACTTGTATCCAATCTGAAACCAGGGAATCAGGGCGGGTTAGCAAATTTTCCTTTTTGGGGTTCACCGTATTCAGAACTCACAGATGAGAATAAGACCCCAAACCCATTTCCGCTTAGTTTCTCACATCTGAAACATCAAGATAAATTTCAGTTATTTAACCTGTCCTACCCATCATATATCCGTTCTTCTGTTGGGTTTCCAGCTCCGATAAACGAGTGCAATCCCCTGGACCTATCTGAGACACCACCTAGAGATTTTACAAACCTTGAACATTTCGGGAAAAGTGTCCATCGTATCTCCGGATTGACTCGGAGTGGAGAAGAACGTCCACGAATGAGGGTTTGTTTTGACCCAGAGAAAGAGATTCCTCTGTTGCAGAAATGGTTTAGTTTCAATAATCATCCGACCAGAACACAGGTATTACCAGGGGTATACAGGTAGTTATGGGCACTTTCGGTTTTTTCAAAAAACATTTTGGAACATAGATAGATAAAAAGACTGACTTGGTTTCTGGCATGTTTACCTATTTGTAAAACTAAGCGAGAGAGAGAAATAAGGTTTGTTTAGAAAGAAACTGAGTTCTTTCCACAAACTTGAATTTTCTAATCCTTATATCTTTGCAACTTGATGAAATAAAACCTTTCATATAATTCAAACTTAGACTAACAGAATTTATAGATTGAATATCAAAGGTCTAAAACATTGGGTTGCAAAGTTATAAAGTTTTATAAGAGTTTGTTGCAAGACCTCAGTTCCGTTTACTGTATTAGGATGGTTTTATCAAAAGATTCTTATCAAAGGTTGAAATTTGAAATAACCAGGAAAGGAAGGTCCAGCATATAAAACCACTGTACACTAAATGTTGTTTTATTTACAATAAACACGTTTCTCAGCAGTTTCATTTACAACCGTAGTTGTAAACACATCCTATCTGGTTCACTTCATGTACTTTTATCCCCAGGCAGAGGAGTATACGGACATACTAAATAGCCTTGAGTACAGGGAGAAGAAGAGAAGGTTGGAACCTGCCAATATCATCTATTGGTTTAAGAACACCAGGGCTGCTCTCCGGAGAGCTGAGGTTAAAACTAACCTGAACCAGGTGGATTTATCCAGGATAGACTTTAACTTTAGGTAACATTTTCTCATCATAATTTTTCTTTGTTTATCTTCGGAAGATTTATAATAGTTGTTGGCAACATAACTAGGGTTATCTTTACTATCTGTTTTATCTGTACTATCTGTACTATCTGTACTATCTGTACTATAATTCACAACGGTACACTTGAAACCTTTATCTGAGCAAAATTATGATAGACATTGTCGTTTTTCTAGGTTAAAAAATGTTTAATTCTGATAATTCCCGTTTTCCTGCAGTAGAAATACGAAAGTCACTGCGGTGTAGAAACCACATTTGAAAACAATCAGTTTTTAAAATAATGATTATTGACATCTAATTCATACTTGATCAGTCCAAGTTTGTAAGGGTATCGTTGTGAATCGGAAATTGCCATCTTTGCATGGACTGATTTGAAATTACTCTTACAGTCCCTTTAATTATTTCAGGAATATTCCTGGCATGGTTGGAGAAGGAAGATCAAGAAACGAACCAAGAGATATTGAATATGTTTTAAACGGACCAAATAGAATATTAGAAAGTTCTTCCAGAAGACAGGACAGATTGAATCTGAAGGACGAGGACAAGGACGGATTGGATGAACTTCAAAATAGAAAGGACGGATGGAATATTTTGCATAATGACAAGGACGGATTGGATGAACTGCAAAGGATCAGGGATGATTTTGAGGAAGTTCAAAAAAACAAGGATGAAAATCCGTCAAAAAATAATGGATTAGAAGATTTTGAAAGGAGTAAGAACGAACCAGATAATGAAGTTAGAAGAAGTAATTCAGCTCAAGATCTCATTGATTTCACTTCACCAATCAAAGAGCCAAACAAAAGTATTAAGTCGATGAACCTTTCAGAGCATAATGATTCTTACAAAAACAAGAACGGGTTAAACTATGAAATTGAAAATGATTTGGATAATGAATACAGGAGTAAGGATGAAAATTGGCGAAATTCTGAAATGTATGAAAGAAGACTGAACAGAGAAGAAGTAAAAGAAGATAAAGAGGAAAATATAGATTTGAGTAAATCTGGCATATTTCAAAATTCTATCCATAGGTTCAAGACTGAGAAAATAGAAGAGTTAAGCAAAGATTTAAAATATCCAAAGGGTAAGAGTAAAAATTCTAAGTAGAAAGATTGATAATAATAATAATAAAAAGAACAAAGGAATTGACTCTTTGCCACATACTCTGATTTTCTAATCCCAATATCTTTGGAACCCAATGTCGTAAACCTTTGATGTTTCAAACTTATATTTTTTGTTCTAACAAAAGTCATAGTTTGAAATTTCAAAGGTTTACGACGTTGGAATCCAAAGATATAGGGATTAGAAAATTAGAGTTTGTTGCAAAGAGTCAATTCCTTTAAAACTAAATATTTGAGATTGATGAAAAAAGTGGAATATTTTTAGATCAATCAAATCTAACAACAGAGGAAGCTGCTACTAGAGAACCTGATGAAAATTATAAAAACTGTACAAAACCAGATTTTTCTCCGGACTCAGATGCGGACACAGAGTCGGACCAGTTTGACGGGATGAATACTCTGATACATGAGGAGGACGGGTCTCACTCCGAGTATAGTTTACAGCACAGGGGAAGTGCAAAACCCAGGATGAGGATCTGTTTTGATTCTGATCAGGTATAAAGATTAAGAAAAGGTAATTAAATGTTCTTCAAAGTATATTTTTTACAGAAGTTTATCTAGCTTCTGAATACAGGGAGACCCATTCAAGTTTCGACTAAAAATACGAAATTGAAGCAATAGCATGTTTTTTATTGCGGTTATAATGCAATATATTTCTTATCTTAAAGGGAGTGACCGGCTATGTAAGGTATTTGAACTGAGTATGCAGTTTTGTGAAAAACTTCTTTCGGATTCATTTGAGATATATTAAACTTTTTAAAGATCTGTAAATCCTGAGTTTGAGCGCAAATTCGACGTTCAAAACTCCTACTTTGGGGTGGATACGTTTTCAGATTTAGTTTTTTTAATTATTAAATAAAGACGACATAAAATGTAAAAAAGTTCTACAATAAACTACAGACGTCATGTATAGGAACATGTTGAGAAAATAAAAATTAATCTTTTCATCGAAAATAAGTAATCTTCAATTATTAGTTTCTATTTTCTCATTATTCTGGTTTCTCATTATTCACAAAGATTTTTGCAGATTTTCTAGAACTATTATTGAAAAGACGACATTTGACAAATTTGATAAATTCAAATAAGCTAAGAAATTCAATATATTAATGAAAACTAAATAATTGATTTTAGCATTGATTTATTGACAAATTTCTTTTGAGAAATATGTTCCTAACTATCTCATTAGATTACTGTATAATTTTTACTTTATTTTCTGTTGTCGTTATTTAATAATTTTAAAAAAACTAATTCTGAAAACGTATCCACCCTCAAAGTAGGAGTTTTAAACGTCCCTTTAAAGGAGGCAAAAAACATTGACAAATATATTTGATATATTTCTTATCAGTGCTAAAAAAAGAACAAAAGAAATGGTATGTATTGTATGCAACTTATACGACGAAATTGTATGTGCTTAATTTAAAATGACCAGTCATTGTTGTTATCTATAATATCTATTATATATTAGTAAATTGAAGTTTATGCTTTTAGGAGATTCCTCTTCTACAGAGTTGGTTTAAGGAAAACAATCATCCTCCTAGATCTAAGGTACAGGGTGTCCCACGAAACATGTCATTTGGTAAATAGTTAAAATGTCTTCTTCCATAATTTTTTAAGTTGTTTGATACCAATGAGAATAATAACAAAAATTTTATATGGCATATCATAGTAAAATTATTTTCAAAGTAAATATATTTTATTATTCTGCAAAATGGCGAATAATAATGTCGTCTTCCAGACAGTTAGTTAGTTTCTATTCTAGATTATTTAAAACATTCAATTATGTCATAAACTACCGTTTAAAATGTTCCATATTGGTTTAGGTCGATATCTACGTGAACATCTTAAACAGTTTAGAGTCGAGAGCTAAAAAAAGGCGACTAGACGCTAACAACGTCATTTATTGGTTCAAGAACACACGTGCAGCCATTAAACGGGCCCAGGTACACAAGTGCAGCCATTGAACGAATTATTATTCGTTTTTACAAGAAACTATTTTGATCTTAAATAGTTTCAAAGAGTTTCAGTTCGTCATTTAAGTCGCATTTTTTTAAAGGCAACCTTTTTCTTTTGAATTTCTACAAATACCTTTCAACAAAAAATATGAATTAATGGATTTTTTATAGGCAACTGTTCTTCCAGTAGAAGGGCATTCTTCATTTCCCAGTATACCAGGGCAGTACAGTTTGGCACAGTATAATCCGTCTCAGTACAATCCAGGGAAGTGCAGTCCGGTTCAGTACAGTACAGGGCAGTACAATCCAGAGAAATACGTTCCGTCCTTTACTCAACTCAATCATCATTACTCAGGGTAAACAAAAATAAAATTTCAATAAATTCCAGGATATTTTTTTCTCAACTTTATTCATTGCAGCTTAAACACTGATTCATTAGTTTTAAGCATTATTCAGTTCATAAATCCTGATATTGATATTTTGTTTCAGTTCATAAATCCTAATTTTAATATTTTGTTTCAGTTCATAAATCTTGATATTGATATTTTGTTTCAGTTCATAAATCCTGATATTGATATTTTGTTAATTGTTTCAGTTCATAAATCCTGATATTGATATTTTGTTTCAGTTCATAAATCCTAATTTTAATATTTTGTTTCAGTTCATAAATCTTGATATTGATATTTTGTTTCAGTTCATAAATCCTGATATTGATATTTTGTTTCAGTTCATAAATCCTAATATTGATATTTTGTTTCAGTGCAGATTTCCAAGGAAAAATACTTAAAAGTTCTCGTACCTACTCTGATTATGACCCTTCCTCTCTACCTAAGAAGAACCGAACTTCTACAATAAATGAAACGGGAATTCGGGACGGATTTAATACATGTGTCAAAGAAAGATCTCGTTCTTGTTCCCCGTATGATCCGGAATCCAAAGATTACTCCCGTCCTGGATCCAAAGATTACTCCCGTTCTGAATCCAAAGAATACTCCCGTCCTGGATCAAGAGAATACTCCCGTCCAGGAGCAAGAGATTACTCCCGTCCTAAATCTGGTTCCAGAACCAGGAATATTTGTCCTACTGAAGCTGTGGAAGATTATCACAAACTTGGAGAAACTCCCGAACCTTGCTCCGATGATGATCCTAAACTGTGCTGGAATGAGAACAATAATAATATAAATCCTTTTAACAATTACTCAAAGGTATTTATATAAAGAATAAAAAAGAAAATTCAGAAATACGGTCTAATACAGTCTTCCTTTTCCACAGTTTTATGGGTTGTACTGTACTAAGCCATTTTTTCTTACAAATTCTTTTCAGTAAAATGTAATATTTTGATCTTTTATTTTTTTCAGTTTAAGACTGAATCTAGAAGAGAACCCCCGGAAACGTCCCAAACCCCTGGATTCTTGGAGACAAAAGAGAAAAAATGTGAACCGAACCTGTCTCCGGGATCCGAGGACAGCATCAGAGATTCTAATTTAATTTCCGGAACATGCTCCGGGTTTCAACCCGATTTCCGAACCTTTCAATCCTCCACTCCGCCGCCTGCTTATCTTAAGGAGCGGAGAATAAAGTTTCAAGATTTTTCCTCTGACTCCTCGCTCTCCTTCTCTCAATCTCATCTGTTCTCCGACCCGTCCAACCTTTCTTCGTCCACAGCTCACACCTTGCCGTCTTTCTCTCATCCCGCTGTTTCTCTGTCCCAATCCTTCTCCATCAATTCCCAACCATCCCTACCATCTCATCTTTTCTTCAGTAGCTTACAAGACCACAAGGAAGGAGCATCCCCATTCCCCCTTCACGGGTTAGATAAGAAGGATGAGTTTAAACCTTTCCTCTCTTCAACCCTACCCCACCTTCCTCCTTCAATTTACAATTCAGCTCCAGGTAAAGTACCATAAAACAATTTTTTTCAGCATTTTTCGTGAACAAAAATGTGTCAACTTTCAACTAATTAATAATCTTTACTCTTTGTAACCTAAAAGAAGAATTTTAACAAATCTTAAAAAGAAAATTTGTTTGTTAAAAACTGCATCTTAATGTCAAAACTGTTAAAAAATCAAATTTTTATTTGGCAAGCTTAATGCTTTTTGTCTATCTGCATGCTCAATGTCCATACTCATGTTAAACATGAGGATAAGGATAAGGATAAGGATAAGAATAAGGATAAGGATAAGGATAAGGATAAAATAAGAATAAGGATAAGAATAAGGATAAGAATAAGGATAAGAATAAGGATAAGGATAAGGATAAGTATGTAAATAAGGAAAAAGATAAAGAAATGGGTAAGAAAAGGCCACGTCTTTGTGTTATACCAAGTAAAACTATTCATCAAACAAATCTTTAGTTTGCTAATTAAATCAATGTTTACATTTTATAATTGCATCGTATCTAATTAGGTTTTGATAGAATATTCCCTAGATATGAACCGGTTTATACCTCCTGGATTGGTTCCACTGGTTCTACCCTACCCTACCCTGCAGCAGTCTGTACTGTACATGTCTCAGCTGATGAACCTGAACCAGTACACTGGACAACACACGGAGAGGAAGAAGAGAAACAGAACATTTATCGATCCAGTTTCAGAGGTATACTATTGAAAAAAAACTTCTTAAAAATTGAGATTTTATATCCTTGCTCGACAAATACACACTTTTAAAAAGTAAAAAGAAACCACAATTTTTAATCAAATGTTAAGGTCCCTAAACTTGTGTAAATCACATGTTAAGATCCCGAAACTCGTATAAATCACATGTTAAGGTCCCTAAACTTATGTAAATCACATGTTAAGGTCCCTAAACTTGTGTAAATCACATGTTAAGGTCCCTAAACTTAATGTTAAGGTTCCTACACTTTAATAAATCTCATGTTAAGGTCCCTAAAATGAATAAATCACATGTTAAGGTTCCTAAATTAAATAAATCTCATGTTAAGGTCCCTAAACTTGAATAAATCGCATGTTAAGGTCCCTAAACTTGAAGAATGGTTTCAAGAGAACTCTCATCCTTCCCACTCTCAGGTTTCAAGATTTACAATCCTTCTGAACAAGCTTCCTTACAGGTTAGAGATCATTATCAGATTATCATAAATATCTAATCATTTGTTATTTCAATCAATTCAAAATAAATTACAGGCTGTCCCAAGAACATGGGAATTGTGTGACAACGTAGAATCTTCTTTTATTTTCAAAAATTAGTTAAGGACAACGTTTTATAAAAAACATGATTCTACGATGCTTGGGCTGTCTAAAATGTGATCTTCCGTCGTCGTATCTTCAATGAAAAATGCGAAGATTTTAATACTTTTGGTTATATTATATCAAGTGGAACTTGGGACGAAATTTCTCAATACCTTGCAGTCATTTTGAAGGTTCAAAACAGGCAGACCAAAGGGATTGAGTATTCGCCACAAACTCAAGGTTAATAATCCCTATATCTTAACAACCTAATGTCCAAGACATTGGGTTGCAGGTAACGGGATTAAAACTTCAGAATTTGTGGCAACGACTCAATTCCTTTTAGGTATCCCGGGACTAGGGGAATATTACGTTTAATGTTTGATAAATATGTTTCCAGTATACGGATATAATTTATGAATACATGTCACATGGGTTTGGGACGATCTTAAAATCGTCCTGTACTGTCCATGTTTATTGGGAGACCCTGTATAATAAGACGATGATGTACCTGAAGTAATGTTGGTTCTTTAATTTCACTTTTTCCACCACATCTAGAATTCCATTAAAAAAATAAAATTATTTGAATCTTTTTGTTCCAGGCAGAAGTTTCCTAAATTGGAGTAGAAGAATGTCCTGTTCTGGTTCAAGAACAGAAGAGCTAAATGTAAACGAGTAAATAGCAGTTAATTTATAATAATGAACATAATTTTATGATTTTAAATTGAATATTTAGAAATGAATAATAAATATGCTAAAATGAAAAATTGAAAGTTTTCAAAGGAAAAGGTGTGGAACCGCAAGTAAGATTTAATTACATTACCATTTTAAAAGACATATTTAAGCCATTTGTAATTATTTCAAAAATGATTGTAATGATCGAGATATACGTAATCAACATTTGGAACTAATTTATTTTGTGCAAAACTACTGGTACGACAATACAACCACCTAACTTCTTTGGATTTTATTTTACACATAAGAGTTAGAAAGCGTATTTTTCTATAATTTAAGTTTTTTTTTCTTTTTAATATCTCTTAAAGTGACTATAGGCGTAATTCAAGTTTCTGATTTAAAATTGTACCTTTAGAACCTTTGAATCAACAAGAATAAATAAGATATTCATCATTGAAAATTGATTATTTTCTATTGTGGCTTCCCTGAAAATATCCCTTGCGGATATAGCTGCACTTGCAGAAACAATGAATGATATTGTCGAATAAAGCAACATTTATCCGATATTTTTCATATGATTGATCAGAAAAGGTTTATCGGGTGCAGTTGTGAATATGACATGTCTTTCTTTTTAACATGATGACCAATTGAAACTACGACAACAGGCCATGAAAGGAATTGCGTCTTCGCCACAACTCTGATCTTTTAATCCCTATATCTTTGCAACCGAATGTCTTAGACCTTAGATATTTCAAACTATGAAGTCTTGTTATGTAAAATTATCTAAATTTAAAATATCAGGTTGCAAAGATATATGCATTAGACCAGTATGATGCAAAGATTCAACTCCTTTACATAAATTGTATTCAAACCCGAGCAATATGCTAAAATGGAATGAAATGATCTCAATTTAGTTTATGTGAGGAAATAGAGAAGAGGATAAGTTAACTAATAGTTAAACATTTTAGATCATGCGAATACTTCAACATTTAATTCACACTCTTCTTAGTTGTATTACACCATCTTTATGCAACGTTATTCACATAAAAGAATGATATACTTCAGAGACGACTGCACAGAATTTATTTAAATCTTCTTCTTACATAATTGTTAAGTTTAGTTACGATAAAATCAAAAATAGATTTACTTAAAAAACCTTTTTACATTTCTTGTTCTCTGGGTGAACACTAGCGTCATTTTAGATTAAATTTTTGTAACCATTATAACATTACATTCAACAGAAAACCTAAATTTAGCCTTCAGATCAGAGTTTTGGGTCATCAAGGTCTTCATCTTTGTGGGTAACCCTGTGATCTGTATCTTCAAGACTAAACAAGGATAAAGATCTTGTGTTCTATACGTTTATATTTAAGTTGTATATAACTGGATATATATATATAAATAATATAAATATATAAATATAAACTTTTATATATATATATAATGATTTAAAGTCATGGTTTAAGATTTTAGTTGTATTCTCCGAACCAATCCCATCCGAACACACGCACAGTATATATACGGTAGTACGGAGTCAAGATACCGGTACATCTCACACATATACACAGGTATAATGTATACACGGATACAGGTGAAACCATCCAGTTAAATCACGATCATGAGACTGATTCTACTTATCTTCTGTCTCCCGTTAGTTCTGTGTATTACTGGAGTATATGAGAAGAGTGAGGGTATATATATATTAAACAATGGAAATTATGAGTCTGCAGTTGAAGAATTTGATTATCTTTTTGTTTATTTCTACGCGCCCTGGTGCGGACACTGTAAAGCTCTCGGTCCAGAGTTTGTCAAGGCAGGACAGATGCTCAGAGAGAAGGATAGTTTGATCAAACTTGCCAAGGTGGATGGAACGGAGGAGACGGAGATTTTAGACAAGGAAAATGTGACCGGATATCCGACCCTGAAACTTTACCGGAAGGGAGAAATGGTTCCGTATGCCGGAGGAAGGATGGCTCCAGAAATGGTTGACTGGTTGGAGAAAAAGATTTCTCCTCCTGCTCAAATCCTGGAAACCTTGGAAGATGTGGAAGAATTTCTGTCAAAGAGCGAGGTTTCTGTTATCGGGTTATTTAGCCAGGACGGAGAAAAAAAGAGTATGTATGAGACGGCCTGTAAGGATTATGATGACTACGGAGTACATTATCCAGTAGGATTGTCTACCAACAAGGAAGTCGTAGAAAAATATTCCGAAAAGGAAGGAATAGTTTTGTTTAAGAAGTTTGATGAGTTAAAGGCAATTTACTCCGGAGACTACAGTACACAGAGTATCAGAGACTTTATCACTGAAGAATCCTTGCCAAACGTGATTGAATTTAATCATGAAAATGCGCAAAAAATGTTTAAATCACCAAACAACGAAAAGTCCCATCTCCTGGTTTTCCACAACAGCAGCTTGGAGAGTTTTAAAGATGAGTTTAGTATGCTCCGACGAGTTGGGAAGGAGTTTAAGAAACAGGTTATATTTGTGAGTGTAGATGTAGTAGAAGAGGATCATCGAAGAATGATTGAATTTCTTGGAGTTCGGCATCGGATCAACAACGATTCATTCCCTACAATGAGAATTATAACCATGAAGGATAACTCTGGTCCTGTCAGGTTCAGACCTGAGGATACAACAGTTTCGGAGGAGAATATCCGAACCTTTGTCTCCGACTACATATCAGGAAAGGTTCCAAGAGAATATTTTGTTGAACCACTCCCGGAGAACTGGGACGAGACAGCTGTCAAATATCTGACAGCTGTTAACCTGAAGAAGTTTGTTGAAGATGAAACTAAGAATGCTCTGGTTATGTTTTATGCTCCTTGGTGTGGACACTGTAAAACATTGTCTCCAGGTATACATAGATACACATCAAAACTTAGTTCATAACATTATTCAAAAGAATAGAAAAATATCTTTCTTTAATATGTTTTTTTTATCAAAACAAATGTCATTTTACCTTTTCATATAATATTTTAAAAAGCTTTCAGATAAAACCTTAGCAAGAATAATAAAAATGCATTCCGGCACAGGGAGTTTTCTGATTATTTAACAGTTTTGGAACATAATAAAAATAATAAAAACTTTTTCGTTTTCAAATAAAAATAATTTTTAAACGGAGGTTTATGTTTAGTTTGGGACAAACTAGCTGCAAATTTTGCTGACACTGATTACGTGTTTGGTAAGATTGATGCAACTGTAAACGAGATCGATGGATTCCCAAAGATAAATTCTTTCCCAACCATCAAACTTTTCATGAAGGATGGAAGACAGGTATATTATAGATCATTTTAGAGAAGAATAAATAATCAATTTTCAAAGTTAAAAAACATAAATATTTCATTTATTTGTAAATATACAAAGTTGTTAAGGTTATCACACATGACAATTTATTTAAATGGAGGGCAAATATTAAATCTCAAGTTGGTTTAACAAAGTATATTTCAGGCTGAATATAACGGAGAGAGAACTGTCGAAGGAATTAGTAAATTTATTAAGACGGACGGAGTTTACGGGATGGCTGCTCCGGATGAAGAGATGAACACAAAACCAAACAAGGATGAACTATGATTTCTCAGGGTCGGAGCTAAGGCACGCTCGGGATATCTTCTATATTTCTTCATATTGAAAAATAAATATTGAATTTTTCTTGCAATTATTCGAACATCGTTTACACAATATTCTTACACTTGCAACACTTTTATGTATAAAAATGATATGACCACTGATATTTTTATGATATATTTGAGCTTTGATATTTAAGATGTCTAAACACGATTAGTGCATATTTATTTTGATAATTGTAACTCTTCAATTTTCAATTTTTACAAAAAAAATATTTGTTCCAAAAAATTATTGCTCACTATAAAACTTATTTCCTATTGTATAACTTTGTAATAATACCAAAATTTGTTAGAAATAATTTAAATGTGGAACAGAGATGAAACACAAAATCGAGGTAATCTGTGATGATTAATTAACTTTTTAAAGGGACTGTAAAGGAAAAATGAAAGGGGGTATAGGATGAAAGCTGAGGTTCTCAGCTTTCGACCTATACCCCCTTTCATTTTTCCTTTACAGTCCCTTTAGAATATATTTTGTATAAAGTGAAAACAAATATAAATAACAATAAACAAAAGCATAAAGAAATAATAAAAAAGAAAAATTGTCTTCTATTCCCTTTTCTAGCAATATAACCAGTTCTGAAAAAATTTTATCATTTTTAGATTTAAATACCGCTAAGCATTTTGTATAAAAAGAATTGAGTCTTTGTCACAAGCTCTTATTTTCTAATACCTATTTCTTTGCAACCCAATGTCGTAGACCTAAGATAATTCAAACTATGAATTTTGTTAGACTAAATAATCTCAGTTTGAAATATTAAAGGTTTACACCATCAGATTGCAAAGAACAGGAATTATAAAATGTAAGTTTGGAAAACAAGTACGCAGAATCTGACACCTATCATACAATTGAGCAGAGTGAGTGTCCCAAAAATACTGGTTTCGACAAAATTACAAGAATCGGGGACAATCAAGAGAAGAATAAGAAATAAAGGAAGAAGGTGAGAAACCATGACAAGAATAATCAAATTAGAATTTTTTGTATTAACTCTACCCAATTTATAAAATCAAAAATCAAAAAAATATTTTTAAAAAATTTGCGTTTGGGTCATTTCATGCAAAATCCCCAAAATGTGTGGCAAATATTTGCGATTTTGCGCTTGATTTCAGGAAACCCTCTAATTGGGTAAATTAATAAAGGAAATTTAATATTTTAAATTTTTTGAGTAAGTTACAGGTCTTTTTTCACATTTAAATTTTTTTTCTTCGCCTAAATAGTAATTTATATTCATCTAAAGCAACTGGGTTTTCAAGTGTTAGGTAAATCTTTGCCCCCCATGCATGTTCAGAAGTTGGGCAGACCTGGGGTTTACAAGAAAAACAGAAATATTTTTGCAGTTTGTTTTACACCAGGTTGCTAAGATTATAAAATTTTTAGCTTGAGGCAATTAATCAATGTCCGAATTTTATGAATTTGAGCTAGCTTCGTCTAAAATCGGCAGAAAACCGGTTACAGTTGAGCGCCGGCTTAAATCTTGAAACATTGAATTAAATTTTAAGTGGAACCAACCATATTTAAGCTGAGCCTCAAATTTAAGCCGCGGCTCAAATTCTTTAAATTCGGCCTCATGTTCTCTATGACGGTACCTTATTCTCCATTGGTCTGCATGTAATGGGACACATCGCTTTAGAAACCTTCCTCATTCCCCATGCCTACAAAAATCTTTACAAGATTTGGAAGAAATGCAGTTAAACTTGGAATTGAGTCTCTTCTACAAACTCTGATTTTTTATCCATACATGTTTGCAACATGTATGAAATCATCGATATCGTAGCTCTTAGACATTTGAAACTATATTAATTCTGCTCAGTATCTCTGTTTGAAAAGTCAAATGTTTTCACCATCAGATTGCAAAGATATAGGGATTAGACAGTTTGAGTTTGTTGTAAAGACTCTATTTCTTTTGTGAACTTTTTGATTCAATTTTACTATTTTTTTTGGCACTAGATCAATAGTTCTATCATTAGTTTGTCTACTGGCCATTTTATATGTTGGTAAATCAAAAAGTATCTAAACTTGCAGCAATTCTAAAATCTTTTATGAAATGAATGAACGTACAGATTACACTGAAAATCAAAATCACAATCAAAACGCGCAAATTTTTATTTCAACTTTCTAAACATGCTGTTTAATGAACACAATAAGGATATCAGAACATAGTAAAAACTTTTCTAATTCTTGTATCTTTGCAACCTGATGTCGCAGACCTTTGATCTTTAAAATAAAAATTTTGCAATATAAAATATGTAAGGTTTACAACATAGCAATACAAGACAGAGAGAGATAGCATGCGTTAACTCTTTTGGGCTTCTGCCTCAGGGTTATTGTGAACGAAAAACCCTAAATTTTGAAAAGACGACATTTAGTGTTCTATCTGTATTGTTATTAATCTATGAATTACACCATCGGGTTGCGAAGAAAAAAGGTTTAAAATTAGAGTTTGAGGTGGCTAAACAGATCCTTCCATTTCAATAAATCTAAAACATGAGAATAGTTTGGCAATCAAATACCTTGGTAGGTCCGTACCCTGCATACACAAATCCAATTCTTCTAGTTGGCCAGGGGCGCCATCCAGGACCCTTATATCCTAGGCACAGAACAGAGATTATAATAGAAGGGAAATAAGACTATCCCTCAATATGAATTTATTCAGTCACTTTAAGCCTGAAAAGGAGTTCAAAGTGTACAATTATGTAAGTTTTCACAAATTATACGCAGTACATCACAATAATTCAGTATGATCCTAGAACATAATGAAGTTTATGCTGAAATGAACTCGGGAATGTAAAGTAATGATTATGCTGAGATGAACTCGGGAATACATGACAGGTTGTCAGAGAATTGATTTAGAGAAAATTAAATATTTTTTAAGACATTTTTTTCTATAAAAAGATGTTTCAGGGACCAAAGGGCTATTAAGCACAAATGTGTGAAATACACCTGCAGTATGGAAACAGTACAACAAAATGGCGGTTTTACACTTTTTCGACTAAATTCAACGTTATACTTTTCTATTATCTTTGTCCCTAGGAGAACCAAAATTTCCTTACCACGGTACAATTAGACGACTTTTAACAGCATATTTTGTTTTTAAAACCAATGAGTGAAGCCTAGGCAAATCTTCGAAATTTGTTTGTTCTGTAAGAGAAACTATCTTGGGAACTCAATTTTGCCTGGAATATTTCTCTATGAAGGTCAACACATTTAACTTAGAATTTTTAAACCGAGCTAAGAACATTCCAGAGGTTTTACATAGTTACACAATCAAAATTTGAGGCAAATAGGTCAAGAGGTTTCTGATTTATGATTGGACAAACAAACAGAGAGACAAAGAAAGAATACTACTTTATATAAAAAGATTAAAAAAAGTGCAAGCAGAATAAGGAAAATTTAAAGGTAAAATTATTTTAAAAAAGAGAAGCGCGAAGCACGCTGGACACCGAGTTTGCACAAAATGGTGTTTTTTTGTATTTTTACTTACTAATTGAATAAATTACTTACTTCTTTTACAACCATAACTGTCATGTATCATAGAGTTATTTCTAAAAAAACTGAATGTTTTTAATCTTTCTATTATTTTTGATATCGGAACTTATGTGCTTTTTATTCTTTTTATTTTTAACGATTGATCTCGATAACCGATGTGGGGACTTTTGTGGATGATCCCTCAAGTAAAGTTGGCCCTGCTAGCCCTGCAGGGTAAAACCATCACGGGGATTGCAAGTTGAATCAAATCATAGGTCCGAGTCCGAAGATGTAGATTAATGAGTTGGATCCCGAAATTAAAAACACAAAACTTCTGACTTCTTGATGTTCAATCAGAGCTGGGAACTTTCGAATGGTCAGGATTAATGCTTAATACTCTGTTTTCGCTAATCTCGAGATTATAATTAGTCTTGAGACTAATTATTTAGATCAACAAATTGGATTCTAAGAATGCCAGATTTGTTGCTTTTCTTGACTGGAAGGGCCTTTACTTAATTTCTTACCCATTTATTTATCAGTACATTAGTTAAAATTCGTTAAAAAAGAATCTCAAACGTATTATTAAATATTTTCTTCACCGATTAATTTACAAAATGGCCGACAACAAATTCTTAATTTGTTAGAAATTGCGGATTTCTCTCATGGGCTAGAATTTATTTTCAAAGCCGTCATTGGTCAATACAATTTCTGAACTATTTTCCTGCACTCTCATTGGAGAAAATAATTTACGGATATCCAAAGAGATAGAAAAAGAGTGGATTAAGGACTGAAATTAAAAGTTTCCACAGTGGATATTCGGATTAAGTGGTTGGGATTAAAGGTTATCTATTCTAAAGTTCCCAGCTCAGTTTCTCCTCTTTTTTCTTCATCAGATGTCTTTGTTTATCAATATCTTTACTTGAAGAGACTGCAGGAAGCGTAATTTCAAGTGTCTTTCCATTTAAAGAGGGGGGTTCCCGACTCACAGTGGTTAAAGAGGGGGGTTCCCGACTCACAGTGGTACCAATTCACTTTACAAAGTTAAGTATAATAGCAAATTGAAAATATTTGATGACTGAACTTTTCATGCTCGGTTAACTTTAAAAACACACTTTTTCATAATTTTAAAATATTTTTTTATATAAATAAAATAACTTTTTATATAAATAAAATAATTTTTATATAAATAAAATAATTTTTTGTTTTTTCAAATTTCCATCAAATTTTTACCTGATTGCTGGCCAAACATTTTTCTTTAAAGTTCTCTAAATTTCCAGAAGTTAAATAATCTAGTTCTTAATCCTTCCATACAGATCTACCCACAACGAATAAGATTTTAGAGAGAACTGTTTGGAATTTAATCAGACTTTTTCCTAATAGTGATGTTTTCCCGTTCCTTTGCACTTCTATATATATATACCAGGGTGTCTCAAAAAAAAGGGGAATAAGGGTATACAGATTTTAAAGATTGAGACCAATTTTAGAATCTACGTACAATTTCCGATTCAATCTGCAAGTTTAGGCTTGTAAATCTAAAAATGACAATTTAATAGGCTCCTAAAGTTTCCATCTGGAGTGAGTAAAAAGTAAGAGATAATCTCTATTCCACAATTTTGAATTCAATTTGAGTTTACAGTTTATTACAATTTAGTTTACATTTTATTACAATCTTATTAAAATGTCCACCATTAGCAGGAAGACACTTTTGGGCCCTGAATCTAATTTCAAAAATAGCCTTTTGGGAGACAGCAGTGTCTAGGCTTTGGGGTTTAGGGGCCTAAAAATTGTGTTATTTTAGATCTACAAGCCTAAAATTGGGCTCATTGAATCGGAAATTGTACGTAGATATATAAAATGGTCTTAATCTTGAAAATCCGATTACAAACAAGTCCGTAGACCCTTATTCCCCGTTTTTTTTGAGACACTCTGTATGTTAGCCAAATCATCAATCAAACTTGAAATCGACAAAACTCCAAACAGCTAACCCAATTTCACTTTTAAGCTAACAGAGTTTTAGGTCGTCATTAGAGTCTCATTTTTTGTAGGAAACCCTATTTAATCTGTTAAAATATGATTATCATTTGAATATCTGAGTACAGCTCGGCTTGATATAAACAAATATTTAATAAAAACTCGAAATTTTAGCAACCCCCCCCCCTCCCCACTAACTCTTGAAATTAATATTATTTCTGCCTGGTCCAGATCTTTTCTGAAGGTTGGATTTACACTGAACAGAGAATTTTTTATTTCCAAAACCTCAGTCATATTCTGGTAGTTTTTACCATCCCATAGTCCAGCCAATATGGCGGCTCTAAAACAAAGACGACAATGATGAAAATGGCGAATAAATGGATAAAAAACAACCGTAATAATATTTTATAGCTATCCCATTCCCATACATCCCTTTTATAAATACTATCTTAGCTTTTGCATACTTGTGGAATGGAGCATCTCTCATTATGTGAAACTGTTCATTTGATTTTAACCATTCCTAAATACATTATATTTTGTATTAACTGTTCATATGTTTGGTTGTACAGTTTATGTATGTTTGTTTATCCGTACTGTGGATTGTTTACACGTCACGTAGATTGTTTAGATGTACTGCAGATTGTTTATCTATACTGCTGAGTGTTAACATGTACTGCAGAGTGTTTACATGTATTGCAGATTGTGTATGTACTACAGATTGTTCACTTTTACTGCAGATTATACCTGTACTGCATATTGTTTACCTGTATTGCATATTGTTTACCTGTAAGGCTGTACTGCATATTGTTTACCTGACTGCATATTGTTTACCTGTACTGCATATTGTTTATCTGTACTGCAGATTACACCTGTACTGTATATTGTTTACCTGTACTGCATATTGTTTACCTGTACTGCTAATGCCTCCCTATCTTGAATAAAACTATCAATATCTCTAGAACCAAATATTTCTACTGTAGGATCTCCAATGACCTTAAAAGGTAAAAAAATATTTTAATTTATTTCTTTTTTCTTATTTTTAAACAGATAAAAAAATTTCAAACAAGGTTTGTCTTGTCTGATGAGAATTTTAAAAACTTGGACTTTGTATTTTCAAATAATCTATTTAAAGAAACAGAATTTTCACAATCACCTGGAATCTCCAGAACCTTCCAACTGGGAACTGCGTATTCAAGTCCCCCAGGCTGGCAAAGGTCAAAAAGTACAAATCAAAATGAGAAAAATACCTTTAACATCTTTAAAAAGTACAGCTATCGACGTTATGTTTCATGCATTATACAATCTTAAAAATAAATTATAAAATATAGCGCCAAAAAGCTATATTTTAAACTTATTTATTTCTAACATAAGCTAAAACTCGAAAATGATTTTCCCAACTTTAAAGTACACTGAAATGTTTTTGTTCAGAATTTTTACTGAAAAAAGCGGGTTAGAAACTAAACAATTGATGTTCTGGCATCCCCTTCTGATTTTTCGACTTTAGAGACCCCCTGTAAAAAATATGTCCATTAATTTTACCTATGCAGTTTAGTGACGTCACAAAGATCCAGATGGGGGCTTTCACAGTGTAGTCTACATAATTCTCTTCTTGTCTAAAATAGTTTAAAGGGACCCGATTTACAACGGTACCTTTAAAACCTTTGAAGAATGAATGTTATTGTTTATTTAAACTGTTTATGTTCTATAGCGGTTTCCCTGCAAAGTGACTTGCGTATTTCTTGCCAAAAATAATTAATGGAAAAATTCACGAAAAAAAACTTTCACAATTCAGAAAAACGACGGGTTGTTCTACATTTTAAATTAGATTAAGGTTTCCAGGGTACCATTGTAAACTGTTCAGTGCCATCTTTGCATGGAGGGTCACTTGAAGTTACGCTTACAGTCCCTTTAAATTCATAAATATTTCCTGCATGAGGTCAGGTTTAATGAAATGTTAAAAGTGGTTGAACCATTTACAGATAGTTGAACTACATCTATATTGCTGCCAAAAATACACTGTTGAAGTTAAAAAATATGTTCTTGCCTCAAATTCATTTTCTGTAATATTATGATAAATACGAATTCTCCAGTCAGGATAGTACAGCTGAAATATTAAATTTTAAATTAAAAAAATTAATTATTTTTCCTCCTTTTCAAAATATTATAATTATTATAATTAGTATTAATTAAAAAACTACAATACCTGTGCCCGCATTAAAATATCTGCTATAAGTTGAGTGTATCGCAGCTCAGAGGCTTTATTTTCCCTGTAGTATAATCAAGATCTGAATTATTCAAGAATAAATAAATCTGAATTAAACAAGAATAAATAAATCTGAATTAATCAAGAATAAATAAATCTGAATTTATCAAGAATAAATAAATCTAAATTAATCAAGAAAATAAATAAATCTAAATAAATCTGAATTATTCAAGAATAAATAAATCTGAATTATTCAAGAATAAATAAATCTGAATTATTCAAGAATAAATAAATCTGAACTAAACAAGAATAAATAAATAAATCTGTCAAATTTAACATAGTACAGTATTAGAAAATCAAAATACATTTGTTTTTCTTCCACTTTGCTAAATTTTGCCTCTGAAAAATATAAAGAAGAAACGAACCAACAAGGAACCAACTGAAACCACATTATACTAGACTTACAAAGGTTTTCCTTTAGAGGAAAGCGGAGGAATGTAGAATGAGTAGGATAAAACTCTCTGACCGGCTCCCAGCGCTGGAATTTAAACAAATGTCAATATTTTTTTAATGAAGTGCCATAATGGATTTGAGCTAGCTTAGAAACAGATTTTCGACAATTTGAAATTTCAATAAAAGGTTGATTTATACCAGAACAAGTAAGCATCGAACCAAATCATAAAAACCTACCTAGAAACTGTACATACTGAAAATTAAAATTAAATTGAAAAGCAAGAAAGTTTTAAAGAAATGATCTTGTCATTCAAAATCAATTTTTAAAAATTTAACAAAAGGCAATTATGAATTTTTGTGTCATGAAGATTCAAAATAAATCTATAAAAAAATGTGTTTTTTTTCTGAAATTTTGTTCCCACTGTTGAAAAATGAATTTTTAACCTGTAGTGAAATTATTACACGTGGATTTGCCAACATATTCTCCCCTTACAACCTAATTTTAAAATCACATTTTTAAATACGGATAAAAAATGTAATCAGTCAATTGTCCTCTTCATTAGCTTTTATTAGAATTACCGGTGAAGAGTTTCAGAAGATTTAAGTTGTTGTATTATTTCTGAAAATATAAACCTGAGGACGGGATTTTTGTGTGGAGTATTATTATTTATTTGTTTGAACGATCTCGATAGCCAATGTGGGCACTATAAGGATAAATGCTTGATCCCTCCATTTAAGTTTTCCCTGCTGGGTATGATCACCACTAAAAGCTACTCCAGCCGTTTACCCGCACTTTTACCGGAAAACTAAATTTTCGAAATAAGAGTCGACCCACTCAACTCAGAATCTCAAAACTAAGAACACATCTAAGTACATTTCTCCAATCAAAATCTGAGTCAAATCGGTCCCGGACTTTATATTTAATTTTAGATTTGGATTTGCACTTGCCTGATTAAAATCTATATTTTGAGGTTGAAGGGTTGGGTTCAGATATTTTAGAGATCGGGCAACCCTGGATATTTTGAAAATTAACCTTTAAAATGATTAAGTAGAGGGAAGGAGAACAAATACAGGGTGTCCCACGAAACATTACAGCAGCAAGACGACTTGAAAGTCGTCATTGATCTTGGAATTTATTTGTAACATTTAGTCGTCAACCTACTTTAACATGTATGATTCTTAAAACAATAACCACAAAATTCTCCTAGTCCAGTATTTCCAAAATGTGGTCTGCCTGTTTTGTGCTTCAATCTTACCGGAGATATTAAGAACTTTATTTTGGATTTCAATTTTGTTAAAGGGAGTGTTCGCGAAAAATTAAAGGGGGTATAGGCTTAATGCGATAAAAAAGCGCTTTTGATCGCTACTAATCTTACTTCTATGTTGCGTCTATAAGGAGAAAATTGTTAAAAACGACTCACACCGAAGAACGCAGTGTCCATACAAATTCAGAAAGATGCAACATTCAACTCGGATCGTAAACAAATCAATTTAATTCCAAACAAATCATTTAAATATTGCAAACAATAGTCATCGATTATTTTTCGACACATTCGTATATATTTAATATTTCATAATATTTTTGATTTTGCTCTTTTTTAAATAATTTTCGCTGGCGTTGGATTTTCGAACAGTCCTGGAAAATATGAAAATGTCGTCTTCATTATCAAAAATCCTCGAAACAGGAATAAATGTTTTCAAAAGCAACTCTCAGATCATGAAAAATACCAGATATTATGAAATATTAACTATTTTTGAATGCGTCGAAAAATAATCGATGATTATTGTTTGTAATATCTGAATGATTTGTTTGGAATTAAATTGATTTGTTTACGATCCGGATTGAATGTTGAATCTTTCTGAATTTGCATGGACACTACGTTCTTAGGTATTAGTCGTTTTTAAAAATTTTCTCCCTATAGACGCAACAGATAAAAGTAAGATTAGTAGCGATCAAAAGCGCTTTTTTATCGCATTAAGCCTATACCCCCTTTCATTTTCGCGAACACTCCCTTTAAATAAAACCAAAATTGTCAAAATTTGAACGAAATTACTATAACCTTGTTGTTATTAACTCTAAAAAATTTACTTCTAAAATAAGATTGAGAAATAAATGCAGATAATCATATAAAATCAAAGATGACGCTTAAATCGTCTTGCTACTGTCATGTTTCGTGGTACGCCCTCTACAGGAGTATACCAACCATATTTAAGCCGCGTCTCAAATTTAAACCGCTGCTTAAATTCTTTAAATTCGGCCTCATATAAAAACACTTTACACTCAAGATGTTAATTTTTTAATGAGTAGAGAATACCAAGTTTTAAAATTACCAATTCCAAACACAATTTTTCAGTCGTTCCTAAATTATGTTAATTGGGACGACCTGTACATTTAAAACAATTATTTTTAGCTTAACACCCTGCAAACACATTAAAGTAATTATAGATAATATTTACCTAGGTTTACACTCGCAAAATGAATCTATAACATATTCTGCAGATGGCTCATGTGTTATTTTTGAAAATTCTGTAAAATAAAATAGAATAAATTAAGATTTTATAATTTTCATTTATAAAATGTTATTAATAATCAAAAAACTTTGACCTTGGCTACTCTACATACACAATTTTACTGTGAAATATAAAAGACTATTTGGGAAAATTTGAATGTAAATAAAAACAAAATTAGCTCCCCCCCCCATCTCCTCAGAACTGAACCCCCTTTCAACCTAATATTCCATATCGATTTACCCCCCCCCCCATCTCCTCAGAACTGACCCCCCTTTAAACCTAATATTCCATATCTATTTACCCCCCCCCCCATCTCCTCAGAACTGAACCCCCTTTAAACCTAATATTCCATATCTATTTAACCCCCTTTAAGCACTCCTATCTGAAAAATGTATTTTTATTACCAACTATGCTGTCAAAGTTGTAAAACATAAAGAGAAGGCTAACCTAAAATAAAAGATAAATACCACAAAATTAAGTTTTTTTGGCTGATTTCTTAGCATTTTGACAAATTTTGATCAAAACCATCCCATATAATAAAACCTTTCTCATCTCAACCCGATTAAGTTGAATACACAAGATATTTTATAAATAAAAAGAATTAAAAGAAGACGACAATCAGTCCATTGTCTTCTGGTTGAACACTAAAAAATTAATTGTCGTCTTCCTTTTAATGAAAATTTTCATTATATTCTTAAGCATTAAATAATAACTAATATTCACCAAAACAATTGTTGACATGATTATAGTTCTCGGACCGTTGATAATGTTAACCGATTTCATCATTTTATCTAAAATAAGTTAATCACAAAAAAAAAACTTGAGTCGACAGAGCAAGGTTTCTGAAAAAAAGAGAAATTATTGGCTTAAAGAGACTGGGGACGTAATTTGAGGTGACTCTCTATTTTAAGATTTGGCTGATCCAGCATGAGTGAGATATTCTTATTGTTCAGGCTGAAAACTGATTTTTTAATAGTGCTTTCTATATGAACGTGACTTACGCATTAACGCTGGAGGGACAATGAAATAAATTGTCATAATTCAGCATGTTTTCAAAAAGAAAAACGATACTATCGTCCTCATTATTACTCAGATAAAGGTTGGAAGGGTGCAATTGTGAATCGGACATTTCACTTTATAAATGAAGGGTCACTTAAAATCACGTTTACAGTCCCTTTAAAGTTTTATACTGATTAAATAATTGGTTAATGTTTAGTAAAGTTCTATAAAAACATATGTTGCTTTGTCCAGTCTCCAGTATCCAGTGCTATAAAATGTAATCATATTTACATAACACCTGTGTCATTTAGTTATTCATATGTTTATTTAGAGCGGTCAAGCTGCAAGGGAAAGAATTTATATTACTGCACCCCTTACCCAATTTTTTAAAACACCATTAATGATTCACAAAAATAGCGATTGCAAATAAACATACTCAGTGTTTTTCACCATTTTCACAATTTGCACTAATCTTCCTCAAAAAGGAAGAAATTGTCGTATCTACAAATTGTCTTTTATTTTTTATGCGGTAAATAATATATTCGTAAATATGATAAACCTTAATGAACATTCGAAGGGGCGTTTGAGGGGGGGGGCTGACCTACACCCCCCCTCCCCTTGAAAATTTAAGATAGGTTGACCCCCTTTGTTGGGCAAAGTCTTATATTATATTTTTTTATTTCTGAAATGTATCTGTATCTAGTCGCAGGGTTTTTTGTAAATTGATTAAATTTTGTCGAATTCCGAAAAGTAAAACCTGAACAAAATTGTCGTTAATTTCTAATGGATACATGATCAATAAACGATCTTTTATCCAACTAAGAAATTGTCTATCTTAAAAAGACAAAATGAATTTACATAGCTTTTCTACATTTTAATTCGTTTTTTTTCAATGTATTTTGAAAGACCCTGTACATTGTGAATTGTGTATTTATAAAACAACCTGTAAATTGTGATTTGTGTATTTATGAAACACCCTGTACATTGTGAATTTTGTATTTATGAAACACCCTGAACATTGTGTACTGTGTATTTATGAAACACACTGTACATTATGAATTGTGTATTTATGAAACACCCTGCACATTGTGAATTGTGTATTTATGAAACACCCTGCAAATTTAAATGCTTATGCAATAAATTTGCTGATATACGAATGTTTGCAAATCTGACATACAGGATGTCCCATTAAACAGAGGAATTAAGTGACGACTGCTGTATCTCGAATCTGGATTTCCAAACTGACGGAGATAATGAGCTCATGGAACAGACAATCGAATCTTATTCTTTCTTTAATTTTTATAATTTTGAATGTTTCTAAGAAACTGTCCTGATTCATAAAAGTTAAGATATCTAGCAAACATCCTACATAATGTTGAGGACAATGAGATTAGTTGAAAAATGTAAACCTTTTGCTTTCTTTCTTTCTCCACTAAATAGTACATATACAGCAGTCTTTCAAGATATAGAAAGCTGTATTTCTCGCAGTTGAATCCGCGATATATTCAGTCAAACTTCCTTGCATGCAATATCAAAATTAGCATGATCAGTTCGAGAGGAGGAAGGCCAGCTACAACCATTTCTTGTCCGAACCACATTCTTCTAATTTTCTCGTCCAAACCATCCTCACAATCCTCTTCCTCCCATTATTAAAGTGTTCAATCCGTGAAGATAAAGCTATTTTTTAAATTTTGGCCAGGTTAGGGTTTAAGATATGGCTAGTCTAAAGTATTGCAATGCTTTCAACATGAATTCGAAATCATGAGAATGATGTCAAGCTTTATTTAGGTGATATTAAATCTCTTCTGTCTACGGAATGACTAATTAACAAAAAAAGATAGTTCTATGAATTTGGAATAACTTGCGGCTTTTTATCCTCTAGGAATACTGAATATTAAAAGTACCAGGAATAATAAAAATACGCGTGAAAATGTGAAAAATTTAGAAGGACATAGAATTTGAAAACTTGATCAATTAATTAAAGTTTTTTTTTTCGATTTTCAAAAATTCAATATTTCATCTATGCCCTAACGTGGCCAGATTTCTTAAAAATAGTTTTATCTCCAAGGTTTGGAAACTTAAATAAAACATATTGGAAGGACAAGGGTTTCGATCGGTGGCTCGGACGAGAAGATGAGAAGAATGTGGCTCGGAAGAGATATTGTTGTGGCTGGCCTTCCTTCCCTTTTTGTTCTGAGGATCGTATAGATTTACAGTGAAACCCCCAATAACGAATACATCGGAAGAATTTATCAAATGTCGTCTTGACAATTTTTCAATGGTTTTTTTTTACTATATTACGTAAATTTAAGTATTTGCGAAAATAAATAAATAGCCATGAATATGCAGCAACAGTTTTAAAGAGTTCCATATAATCATTTAATTAAAAAACTAAATATCTGCAACATTCCACTATCAGAAAGTTAAGAATACGACATTTGATGAATTCTTTCGATGTATTCGTTATTAAGGGTTTCACTGTATGTGAGAAGAGACGTTGTGTGAATATTTACATTACAATTTACAAACGGTTAAATTTAAAACGAATAGCTGCATAAACAGTGAAACTCATGACACTGTGGAATATGAAGACGACATTCAAGTAATTTTGTATATGTTGTTATAAAGCAAATAACTTTACGAGTAGCGTAATAATCAACTTATTAAGCCTAAGCCATTTTGCACAATTTTAGTTTTTAGACTGAAAGAGAATAACAAAAGTTTAGCGTTACAATATGTATAGTGTGTTTATACTTATAGTCGCCTGCAAACTATATGTAATGAAAATAATGAAATATATAATATATAATATATAATGAAAATGTATTTTGCCCCTTCGGACAAAATAAGTTATCCAAAATTTTTGTCGTTAAGCATGGAGGAGACCATCTAATGTCAGGTTTTGGACGATTTTGTTAACTTTATCGTATCGTATTGCATTTAAATATCTTATATGCGGTAACAGTTTTATTAAAGTATAAACAAGACTATTTTTGGACGATTTTGTTACTTTTATCGTATCGCATTGCATTTTAAATATTTTATATGCTTTATCAGTTTTATTAAAGTATAGACAAGACTATTTTTGGACGATTTTGATCAGAATTAAACACAATTGAGTAGAAAATTTCAAAGAAAATAACATTTCAGTATCTTTACATATTCTTTACCCATCATGTTCAGACTGTGAGTCCTGTGAGACATAAAAAACTGTGGAAAATGAAGACGACTGTCAGACTCCTACTATGAATTTAAGTAGTTCAATTCATTCAATTGTGCAATGCACACAGATCCATTTTACTTAATATCTAGAAAAACAACATTAAATACATGTATAGATTGCTTAAATATCGTCGTTCTTTTCAATATTGTATGGTTCCCACTGTAGAACAATGAAGACGACTTTCGATTTAAATGTTTGATTTCTACCAAGCTTTGAAACAGGATGCAGATGTAAATATCATAGAATCAAAGAGCAGCTGTCAATGAACAGCATCTCTTAGTTTACTTAATAAAAAAAACTTAAATAGGAAAGTCGTCTTTATTGTATTGATATAAAAGCCGACAACTGTAGTTATAAGAGAAGATTAATATATCTTTATTTTTTGTTCTATTTCAGAAAAAATAATGTTATATGTAGGTTTCTGTATTACTTCTTGACACTTTGCTTCTGTTAACAAATCCTTAATGGATGCTTTCTCAACTATTTGCTTTATTATTATAGGTTTGTTTACTATATACAGTTAAACCCTAAATATTAAATACATCGAAAGAATTTATCAAATGTCGTCTTGACACTTTTTCTATTGGTTTTATACTATTTTACGTAAATCTCAGTATTTGCGAAAATAATAAATAGCCATAAATATACGGGAACAGTTTTAAAGAGCTCCATATAATCATTTAATTAAAAAACTAAATATCTGCAACATTCCATTATCAGAAAGTGAAGAATACGGCATTTGATGAATTCTTTTGATGTTTGGCTTATTTAGGGTTTAACTGTTTAACCCAAACCATCAAACAATACAGTGAACTTTACTCCCTTAATTGGATTGTTAGAATCATACAAACTTTTTGCACATTTATTATAATAGGGTTACAGACCTTATTTCTGTAACTAGAAGAGGAAAATATAATACATTTAGAGTTTTTAATTTCTCGTTTTGCTTGTATAGTCTTTAGGAATAAACTTGCAATAGCGACCCAAAACGTCGGGATGGTACTTCAAATGAACGGATCCTTATTTCTTTGCAACCTAATTGTGTACTCTAGATATTCTAAACTTAGATGATGTGATCTAACAGAACTCATAGTTTTAAATATCCAAGGTCTACGACATCGGGTTGCAAAAATATAGGGATGAACAATTGTGAGTTTGAGAAAAGACTCAATTCCTTCACCTTAATATACGTCTAAATAATCACAGTTTAAAGTCTAGTTTGGTTTCCATTTTATGTTGTTTAAAACAATATCTTGAATTTTATATTTTTCGTCCTGTATAGGTTCCGGTTTAGTATCATGTCATATTTCTGTCCTGTCTTGGTTCTGGAGTAGTATCATGTTATATTTACGTTCTCTCTAGATTCCGGAGTTCTATCACATCATATATCCGTCCTGTCTAGGTTCCGGAGTAGTATCATATTACATTTCCGTCCTCTCTAGGTTCCGGAGCAGTATCACGTCATATATCCGTCCTGTCTAGGGTTCCGGTTTAGTATCACATCGTATTTCCGTCCTCTCTAGGTTCCGGTTTAGTATCATATTATATTTCTGTCCTGTTTAGGTTCCGGATTAGTATCATACACAGATGGATACTGCTCCGGGGTCGGAGCTAACCCAGGGTTCAAGTCTGCTCCAACCGTCCAACAGGTTTGTTTGCATCAATCTTTTTAAGACAGGATCACAGGAAAAAAGTTTCTGCGGAAAAAGTTCTAATTTTCAGAAGTTCGAAGAGAAAATTTTTATTAGCAATAAAGAACTTGGTTTCATGTGACCTTTAATTTTGAAGATTGTCTCTTCACAGAACCATTTAAGAGTGTTAATATGTAGGACTTAATTTCCAAAAACTTTATTTAAGAGAAAAATGACGGGTTTATAATTTTTTAAAAAATATCTCCACGAATTCCATTTTTATCTTTTATAACCTTTATTTAAACATGGGATATGGTTACAAAGATATATTGGGGTAAAGAAAAGAAAAGTGATAATTAGGATTGCACCATAGATGAAGTAGAAGCTTAGAAAAAAAACTTACCAAACATTGAAATTCTTAATTGGGAGAGATAATCATAAATGGGTGTAATTTTTGTATTATCCAGGGTGTCCCAAGAAACATGACAGTTGGTGAATGGTTTAAAGGGAGTGTTTTCTCCCATAATATGTCAAGTTGTTTGTTGCTAAAGAGAACAATAATAAATATTTTATGGCATCCATATAATAGTTAAATTAATTTCTAAGTAAAATGTTTTTGAGTAAAGTTTTTTTAAACTAAATAAACTGCAATAATTGATTAATATTTGATACAGAATATGGAAGATGACATTCAATACTATTCACCAACTGTCATGTTTCGTGGGACACCCTGCACCATTTGTATTATCTCCAAGCTATAATTTCAAGATGCGCATTCTAAAATTAGGCTTGTATATGTTTTTAAAATTATGAAAACATTTAAATTTTTCTGCTTTTTCTTAAAAATTCAAATTTAGAGCTAACGATACAATAAAATGTGGAACACCCAGCACCCTGTATATGAGAACATAAATAACGTTTATTTTTTCGTCATTGATTTATGCTCTGTTTATCAGGTTAGTATGACCAGCGTACTAGTGAGCTGGGAGGGAAGGGTGTCAAGAATTGACTGCGCTGATCAGTTTCTTGTTAAATCCTGGGTTCTCAATAATCCAAACTATTATCAGGTAAGACGACATTCAATCAGATCTTGATTATTGATCATTATGATTTCTAGGATTTTAAGCATAATTTGATTTTTCAGATCTCTGATCTTTTACCTACGGATCAATTCAGCTATAAAGTTGAGGACCTTGTTCCAAATATGGAGTATGCTTTCCAGGTAGTGAAAATATAAAGATTTTTATTTTTATACGGTGAGACTCATAAAACTGCGGAGTACGGAAGCGTGAAGACGATTGCTAGACCCAAGTTATGAATTTGAAATTTTGTAACGCTTGACAGTTTGTAAATTTGGGCTTTTTGTTATCTTAAGTGTTTTGTTTTTGGGCTATTTGTAATTTTGGGCGATGTGTAATTATGGCTGTTTTGTTATTGGACATTTTTTTTGGCATTTTGTATTCACTCCGTCCAAAGAGCATGAAAAACAGCAATTGTTCAAACTCATTCCATTGAGTGTTTCCCAGCTATAAACCTAAACCTACACACACACATATAAGCACAGAGTTACCTACAAAAGATAAGACTTCAGAGACAAATGTACGGAATAATTTAACATAGAAATCGTCATTCTTTAAGAGTTTCAATTCAAATCGTCTTTACAGTCTCATCCTTTGATAGTAACCCTGTATGTTTATCGCTAAATTGCAATAATATGTAAAATTTCCTTTCTAGGCTGTTGCAAGAGAGGATAAAGGATTGCTTGGAAAGGACTGGAACAAATCACCAGTATCAATCTTCTCAACATCGTCAAAAAACCCAACAATAAAACCGTTTGTATTTTTTAAAAACATTAAACCAACCCTGAGTCGTGGTGAGAACCCAGTCCCTCTCACCCCTGGTTTAAAGACTGGTGGAGAAAGAAATGATATCCCAGAAACCGATACAACGGAACAGGAAGAGTTAAATCTTCTCCCGATCTTCTTTCTTTCTTCTGCTCTGGTCATCATCATTCTTTTAGGAAACTCAAGCAATTTAATTTGTTATTTTTCAAAGTTCAGAAAGATTTTAAGTGTCTCCATATTTTAATATTCGCCATTTCGAAATTGCGATAGCTGAGTTTAGTTAGTGGAGGATTGTATAACATCGGGAAGTTGTCTACCAGACGGAGAAGAAAATCCGGAAAGGCAGAAAAAAGGTTTTTATCCATTTTCTGGGTTGTACACTGTTCTGCACTGTATACCTATTTTGCAAATTAAATTAAATTAAAATATACTTTTTCAGTGACTCATCCACCAGCGATTCTTTAGAGTTGGATTCAGTAGATGAAAATACAGTCAGCTGGAGACAATCCAGGTAAAACACTCATCAGATGTCGTCTTCATTTAGAATTTTTACCTTTTCAAGAAGTAAAAACAAAATATATTAATAGAACATGTTCCTGCATCCAAAAGTCGTGCAAAAATAATTAGTTTAAATTTTTTATACAGTCGTCGTCGTAAATATCAATACAATAATGACGAATTTCTATTTAAATTGTGATTTCTACTAAGTTTTCAAACACATTTAAACATTTACACATAGTTGTCAATGAACAACTACTCTTTGTTTAATTGTAAACTTGTATTTGTTTGTTTAAAAATAATTGTTAAGGACCAAATTGTTGTTAATAAAAACTTGTCTTTATTGTATTGTTATAATCGCCGACCACTGTAATACAGTAATAACCTCTTTTTTGTAGGAAGGATTTAGTACTCTACCGAAGTATGAAGGATGTTAACTCTGAAAAATTGAGCAGAGGAACACAAACTCCTAGGTCGTGTAGTTGCTCTAGACCCCCCCATAAGACGCCTCCGAAGGCAAGTCAATTCTCTTATTGATATTTCAGAAAAAAACAGTAAAATGAGAAACTCTTTATATTCAGTAATTACCTTATTGATACACACTTTTTCCCCGACAAAAAAAGACAATCCTGTAAATGGATTTTTTTTAAACGTTTTTTAAACAGGGTGTCCTACGAAACATAACAGTTTGTGAAAATTTTCAAATTTCTTCTTCCATATTTTTTAAGTTGTTTGAACCCCAAGAGAATAATAAAAATATAAAAATTTTCATGCCAGCCATATTATAGTAAAATTGATTTCAAAGTAAAATATATTTGTGTAAAATGTTTTTTAAACTAAATAAACTACACAAAGTCTATAATATCTAATACATTATATGGAAGAAGACATTTAAAACTTTTCACAGACTGTCATGTCTCGTGGGACACCCTGTATTTTTATTTTAAAATCTGGAACATTATAAACTAGTGAAATGCACTTTGTATACGAACAATGTCTTCGTTAAAAATTAATGGTTCTCAAAATAAAATCCAGTACGTACAAACGTTCTTCTATTCCAAATTAGATATTAGATAAGTCGCGTGATACCAACTTAAGATCTATAATTTCTATATAACTTTTTATATTGGGAACCTTTAAATGATGGATGTCGGGATGATCCACTGTTTTTCTAATCTCCAGATTAAATAATGCTTGTTTTTCTCTTCTTCTTAATCTCCAGATTAATTAACCGGTCGGGATTAAGGATAAGTCTGTAGAGTTGAAAACTTTAGAATTGGATACCCTTAATCCCGATCACTTAATCTGAATATCCATTGTGGACACTTATGATTTTCTTAATCCTCTCTGTTGATACACTCTGGTTGGTAGAATTGTAGGCACTTTACTCGATGAAGATTATGATAATCTAAAAATTAACAAAAAGAGGAGATCATGCATTGATCTCGATATCCACAATTCTAAAGTTTTCAGTTCAGCTCAGATATGATTGGGTGACTTTTGAATCTTTGATTTGATATAGAATTAGAATTCCAATTTTATATAAAACAAATTAAACCTCTGTTTGCAATAAACACAAAAATATATAGAATCAAGATTTAGAAAGAAAAGCAATTTCGATTTATACAAGGAAAATTACAATATTCTTCCAAGAAAACTTTGCTTAAGTTTTGTTTTAAAACTTGTTAGGGAGCTTAGAGATTTATTTTCCAATGGAATAGAGCTCCAGTTGTTCTTGGAAGAAAGCCCGTAGGAAAACTTTCTAGATATCTATTGTTAACTAATTATAATTCTAATTGACTTTTAAATCTTTGATTTTACATAGATTTAAAATTAGAATTCCAATTTTTTATAAAACAAATTAAACCTCTGTTTGCGATAAATGTAAAAATATTTTTTAATTACATTCTGCACGCCAAGATTCTCTAATAAATATATGCTGAGAGTCCTTTATTCCATCCTATTTTAATACAAAATTCATTAGTTTTCCAACCTTGTAAATTCAAATAATAACAAAATAAATTAGAAAAGACTTCACTTCAAATATATTTCAGCTTTTTGCAAGTTGTTCTTATACCCAATTCCCACCACCTAGCCTCCACCACCTCCGAATTGTAAAGGATACAAGATTTCAGATTCTATGGAATAAAATCTATCTTGAACAGTTTTCGGCTGTTACAGTATACAGTAAGAGTGTGTCCTAGTATTACTAGCAGAGAAGTATTCTACAGGGAATACTATAAGACACGTTTTTTAAATGGCTGCCGCAAATAATAAATTGTAAAAAAAAATTTCAAGATGAGAAAATAAAAATTTCGAACAATTTACAGAAATTAAAAATATTGAAATTTGACCGAGTAGATAAAAACCAACTTTTTCAGTACTTACAAATGAAATTTATCCAGAGAAAAAACGATTTTTGACAATAAACTTTCCATATTTTTCAATTCTCTAAATTGTTTAGAACTCCAATTTCAAGCTGGTTCCATAAATACCCTTTTTAATAAGATTTTCAAATTTTTAATTTTTACTGGAACTACTGATTTTACCATTAAATCCCATTTGAGGGGCCCATTTTGAATTTTGGGAAAGATGTCTTTTTTAAAAATTGCCCTAGAATTCAAAGTGGAATATTATTTTGCTTCTGTAAAATGGATTCAGAAAAATGTATCATCCCTTAAGAATAATTAAACTTTAAACAAAAACATGTTTAATTTCTTTATTTGAAAAGAAATTAAGTCCATCAATTTCCGTCCTCGTTACTGCTGCACAATAACGTAATAAAAAACTGTTAACCAACTTGGCAACGGCCTTAACTGGTATCTTATTTGTTTCGGACGTTTATCTCCTTAACTAGGTATATAATATGGCGCATGTAAATATTTAATGGATTAATTTTTGCTTTTATGAAAAAAGCTTTATAATTCTCATAACATCATAAACTAATTTCATTTTCCGCAAAAGGCATGAAATAAGATTGGAAATTATTATTTCTTTCTTTCTTTAGAACCAATGTGATTAAATATCTGATGAAAACTTGATGAAAAAAGGCGAGGAACGAAAAAGTAATTATTTACAAAATTGGATAATCCAAGTTTAATTTTCCACCCGGTCTCAATGAAAGAGACATGATCGAAGAGAAATATTAAGAAATAGGAATCAAACTAATATTTTTATTCATAAATTTAATAAGAAATAACATGATTATAACACTAACAGGAGTTCTTCACCGGTCTTGCATAGTTTATCATTGATCAAATACTGTATTGTATAATCTCGAGGGGGAAATACTTGAATCGTGGATATCGAGATCAAACATTGATATCGATCTTTTTTAATCTAATTTAATCTTTAAGTTCGGAGAACGAACAGCCAATCAGAAGCCGAGGAACTTTGTATTCAACGAATGAGAAAACAAAATAGTATAATAAGGATTTCCAAAATCAAGAATCGAGCAGATTCACCACACAAACAATGGATATCGAGATCAAGCGATCGGGATTATGGGTATCCGCTGTGGGCACTTTTAATTAAAGGATCAAAAAACTCTACCTTGCCATATTTTTATTTTAGTTATCCCGCCCCTGATCAAAGCTTCCTTCAACCCATGCATATGACTGGGTACAAAAACTACGCAGGATATCGAATAAAGATTAAATTAGTCTGCAGATTAACAAAAGATCGTAACCGAGCTGAAAACTTTAAAATGGTGGATATCGAGATAAATTCTTGATCTCCTCTTTTTCTTAATCTCAAGATTAAATAATACTTGTTCTCCTCTTCTTATTAATCTCCAGATTAATTAACCGATCGAGATTCAAGATATCCAATTCTAAAGTTTTTAGCTCAGAGCATTGATCTTGAAATCCACAATACAAGAATTCCCAGCTCTGGATATTCTTCTGTACCATAGAAAGATATCTAGAGACCATGTTCCAAATCCTCGAAGCGTATTTATAAAGCCTATTATAATTTGAATGTAAGAAGATTTGGAGTTCCTTTGTGTCAAGGATGAAAATCTGGACAAATTCTATTTCTGGATATTGAAAAAAATCATACATTCTTAAAATTTTGTGCTTTATCCAGATATCAAATCATGTCTTTTTTCGCTATTTAAGAAAATTCGGGAATGAAATCTAGTCCCGTCTATTCTCGATCAGAGGAGGATATCTCATAATCCTCCTCCTCGAAGGATTGCCTGAGCCAGGTTCTGACCAACTCCACCGCCTCCTTCCTGTACTCCTCCCCCTCCCTCCTCAGTATTACCAGCAAGGTTTCCTTTTCAACAGGCATAATCTCCTTCAGGTATTTTGAGCTGTAGTTCCTGGACTGCCCTTTAGAGTTTACAAACAGAACCTTCTCCACAGGATTCTGTCTACCTAGACCAGAGGTAATCCGTTTCAAGGAGAGGGTCAGATCTTCAGGAGATAATGAACCGTTTGCTCTCAATACAAACTCATTCAAGGAGACCTGATGCTCATTAAACTTCTGGGAGATATGACTCCCACTTCGTCCAACCAAACCTTAAATTAACACAAAATTAAATCTTATTTAAATTTAATTTTAATTTTTAATTAATTTTAATTCTATTTACACAATAGATTCAGAAAAATAATTTTTACATTCCCTACCTACGACTTTGTAGAGTTTTCTGGTTGATATCCTGTGAATAATTTGCCGCGCTGCTTTCAGAGCATTTGTTCTCGAGTGTCGGATAGTGTTGAACAAGAATTCATCTGTCAGCTGGGAGAACACAAACATATCATTGCAAGCTTCAGATAAAGGGACAAATTTACCTAAATATATAAATTCATTTATTTGATGTTTTCATTGTTAAAGGGTAGTGAACATTCTTGTTTGATTGATTCACAAAAGTACCCTTTAATCTTCGCATAAGTAAAAGCTATGCAGAAATCCTCATTTCATAATTTAAAATTGATATTTTTATTTAGCGGTTTTTCTATTTATGCAGCAGAGAAAAATAAGAAAGTTGTCAGAATTTAACACTTTTCCAGTTCGGAAAACGACGATATCTTCCTTATTGTTGCTCAGAGGTTACTGTTGTGAATCAGGTATCTGATTCCTTAAACTGTGGAATTTGATGATCATGATCTTTAATAAAAACGACCATTTATTACAGAAAATAGTTAACAAGGAACCATTAGAAACCAGGGATCAGAACAATGTAATAATAATCTACAGGGTGTCCCACATCATATTAGATCGTTTATAGCTCCAAATTTGAGATTTTTCGGACTAATCAAAAAGTTAAAAACGAAAGAATAGTTTTAAAAAATGAATAATAAATATTTTCCGAGTATTAGCTGCGTACTTTGGAGTTAAAGCTTGAAGATAATCTAATATGATATGGGACGCTCTGTATCATCGATCAGACAATCATCCGGATAATTGAAAAATTAGTATTATTATCATCAATATTATTATTATAATCATCATAACTAAATGGTAACCTTCTCTATCTACGCAGATCTCCACATGTCTATCAGCACTAAGAAGAATATCAATATACATTCGATCAATCTTCTTTACAACTCTGTGCTGGTATCCGTGCTCATGCAGTCGGGTTCTATCCTCAAACAATTTCTAAACACAAGGTTACAAAAATAATAGATAGTTTTTAAATAGAAGATTACAACGAATATCCCAGATAGAAGGTTCTAATTTTTAAACACAAAATTGTAAAAAATATAGATGAAGTTTATCGGTTCTAAACACATGATTACAAAAAATATGTCAAATAGAAGAGTTTCGTCTCAAAACACAAGATTGCAAAGAATATATCAGAAATAAGTCTCTCCTTTCAAAACACAAGATTAGAAAGAATATATTAGAAAGAAGTGTCTCGTTTCAAAACACAAGCTTACAAAGAATATATCAGAAAGAAGTGTCTCGTTTCAAAACACAAGATTACAAAGAATATATCAGATAAAAGAGTTTCGTCTCAAAACACAAGATTAGAAAGAATATATCAGAAAGAAGTGTCTATGTTCAAAACACAAGATTACAAAGTATAAATCAGGTAGAAAAGTTACGTTTCTTAACACAAGATTACAAAGAATATGTCAGATAGAGGTGTCTAGTTTCAAAACACAAGATTGCAAAGAATATATCAGAAAGAAGTGTCTCGTTTCTTAACACAAGATTACAACGAGTAAGTCAGATAGGGGTGTCTAGTTACAAAACACAAGATTACAACAAACATATACAAGATAGAAATTTCTAGTTTTTAAACACAAGTATCTAAAGAATATGCCAGATAGAAATTTCTTCTTTATCAAAAAAAATTAGTATTTTATTCGTTGAAAGTTTATATTTTAAAGCGTTTTGCTGAGAATAATTCACAATATTGTGTTTTACAGCTATTATAGAAAACTTTCATCATCCCTCCCTCATTCCGATAAAACCACTAGCCAGACCCATTACAGATATATTTGTACATTAGCACGTACGACAAAACCATAGGTAATAATAACAAGAAACAAAATATTTTTTAAAACGCCGTGACAACCCTTTTGTAACCTTTATAACAGAATAGCACAATCCACTAGACAGATGATAAAACAGTGTAATGTTACATATTACTGGTACAACTTTGTGACCTCTAAAACTTCTCTATTTTTGATATTAAACATAATTATAAAAACAGCCAATTTATTGGTTCATAGTTCTTCAATAAAAGGAATTGTAAATTACATGTTATATAGAAATTTTACATGTTTTAATAGATTTAGGTTGACGTGATTAGTCAGACAATGATATCCCAAAAGATATCAGCTATAAACATATTATATATAGTATAAACTACTTATAATACATTCTATAAGTCAAGAATATTTCATTATCCTGATCCTTTCACTGCAGTATTAACGTTAAGGATTCTTAAACTTGTAATTAATAGATATAAGTCTCGGATTTGATATTTGTTCAAAATCTCCAAAATTCTTAGAAAATTCATTTTAGAATATTATTTGATTTACTCAAAGACGCCCGTTTACATTTTTTTGTAAGTTTTTTAGGTTTGTACATTTTGTTTTAAGTTTGTTAGGTTTGTACATTTTTGTAAGTTTGTTAGGTTTGTACATTTTAAAGATTGTTATGTTTGTAAATTTTAAAGTTTGTTATGTTTCTACATTTTAAAGTTTGTTAGGTTAGTACATTTTGTTGTTAGATTGTAAAGCTATGTCTCCATCTTTTGATAAATTTAATCTAATATGACTAAGTCCAGTACTTTTATGTAAAATTTACAACTATTGCACAAGATTAGATTCTGGAAATTTTGTATTAATAATAATATGACATTTGATCTATTTCTATTAGATCAAAAATGTTAATTGACAATTTCTCCAGAGAAAGATTTTTGTCAATCTTGATATCAGATATTGATATCCTTTGTAGGCACTTTTAAAGTTGAGGATTAAGACTTGATTTGCCCCTTTATGGTATTAACACGGGATATCGAGGAGTAATTAAATCAATTTGAAGATCTGTAGAAGATGAAGATCAGAGTTTGATCTCAAAATTCAAATACAAAAAATCTGAGTTCAGGTCGTTATTTAAGGTTAGAGATGTTCTTTAAAATTATTTGTGAATATGGAATATTTATGTTTTCACATTGATATATTTGGAGACTAATATTTATAAAAATTTACATGTTTTATTATTATATTGTACACTATAGTTTATGTATAGTTTACTATATATGTATACTAATTGTACTAAATTGTATGCGAAATAAATCTATACAAATAAATGTCAAAAGTAAAAGTACAAGAATAAAGTATCCTACCTCAACACTTCGGGCCTCCTTATCTGCCAAGGCGAGCCTGGTTTTCCCGTCGACCTCCACCAGGCGAGACATGCAGATAAACCTCTTGTAATCGAAGGTGAGCCCAATGTTCATCGCCATGTTGTCCCTGAGAAAGTAATCCCACTTGTCCACGTCAATGCTGGATATCTTGTTTGCGACGATCTCGTAGAGGAAATGTTTCTCTGGTCCTCGGCCCTTGAATACTCCGTCAGAGCCTGGGAGGGGGCCGTAAATCAACTCCTTGATGAAGATAAGATCCAAGTTAGTGAAATCATAGGCCATGAATATAGGCCAAAGATTGTTCTCCTAGATAAAAAAGATTTCAAATGCAATTTAAAATTTAAATACTTTATTATACAATTGTAGTGTTAACTGTTGTTAATCGTTTTGAATAGTTTTTTGAAAACTTGAAATTTAAAGGGACCGTTCACTCATTTGGGTAAATTCATGGTAAACTAATTAGCCTATTAGTTGTTCATTGGTATTGGTCTTACTTTTCAAAGATATCTATGAGCGGAGAAAAAGCCGATTTATCGTTTAGAATTCCAGCGGAAAGGTGTGATACCTTTGAATGGACACTATTTAAATGTTTTTTTTTTCAGTAACAGCCCAATAAAATCTAAAATTATCATATGTCAATGAAATCATGTGTCAGCTATTATATAATAAAATATAAAAACTATATAAAGTGGAAGTAGCCGAAGCCGTGAAGCCCCAACTACCATGGCTTGTATATACAGCCTGAATTTGTTTTAAAATTTTTTTTCTTCTGAAATTAACCTTGAAATATATTCTGTATATTCACCCTTATTCATATTCATCCATGAAATATATTCTCTATATCAAATAGAAGAGATATCCAAAAGAGAGGATAACACAAAAAATCAAAAGTGTCCATAATAAATATCAAGATTAAGCGAAGAGTTTTAAGCTCAGATCGAATTATCAAATATATAGTTTACCTGAATGAGAAAGTCAAGCATATCAATACTGCTCTGTTCATGGTGCCACGTATTATCTAATAAAATTTACTTATAAACAGAGTTTAATCGGCATCTGCATTTACACTCAGCTAACACATTTACAATACATGCAAATATTTATGTATATTTGTAATAAAAACCCTATTCCATTTATATCTTTGTAACCCGTAAATATACGTTATTTAGTTCATTGACCCTAGTTGCGGTCAAAATATTTACCTGTCCCTTTTTATATTTACATATATACAGTTCAACACAGACACTTTTTATTTACGGATCGTATATACCATGTAAGGTAGAGAATACAGAGTTTGAGGAGTGGTATCAGTATTGATACCAACTTGAGGATACGGTTAGTGCTGTATCAGGATTTAATACTTATTTGAATATAGAGAATGTTGTACGGGAGAATACAGAGGGTTATATCTGGATTGATACATATTAGAGAATACTGGAGTTATACCTGGGGTTTGTGCATTTAGGATTATAAAGACTAAGTGAGAGTTTAGGCATTTTCTACACATATATACATATGAGCGAAGAGCTTTCTTATATAGAAAATAAACGAGAGTTAAAAATTGCCTTTTGCCTGCAAGAAATTTTTTTTTCTTCATTATTTCTTTCAATTTGATTTTCTAATATTTTGAAATTAATTGTATAAATAACCCCTAGATAATGAAAATGTCTTGAGATTTGAATCAGCTAATTTTAAAATGTCCTGTAAATATTCAATAATACACATTACAATCTACTCTCATGACATTTTTAGTCTTTTTTCTTATCTATTCTAGAGTTTAACGCAAAGTGATTAGATGCAGGGTGTTGAAGATGTGGTTTGTGCATACTTGACTGTCGCTTTAAAGGACTGCTGACGAACTGGTTTACGACAAAAAAATATAAAAAATTATAAAAAAAACATCCTTCTAAGGAAAATTCCGATCTTCTTTTATATCATTGTTCTTTTTATTTCAGAACAAACTATCCATGGTCCTCTAACGACACATACAGTAAAACGCAAACCCGATCACTTACTTTCAATTTACTCTCATTGGTCTTACCCCTCTATCCACATGAGTATACCTGGTCTAGCTTCAGATACAAAGTGCTCCCAGAGATGAGAGTAAGGACCGTGCCCTAGATCATGACAGAGACCAGCTAACATCACACATAACTTATCCTGATATAGATACAATATATTTTATTGAAACTTATCCTGATATACATAAAATATATTTTATTGAAACTTATGCTGATATACATAAAATACATTTTATTGAAACTTATCCTGATATATATATATAATATTTTATTGAAACTTATCCTGAAATACATATCATATATTTTATTGGAACTTATCCTGATATATATAAACTATATTTTATTGAAACTTATCCTGATATACATACAATATATTTTATTGGAACTTATCCTGATATACATACAATATATTTTATTGGAACTTATTCTGATATACATAAAATATATTTCATTGCAACTTATCCTGATATACATAAAATATATTTTATTGGAACTTTTCCTGATATACATATATTATATTTTATTGGAACTTACTCTGATATACATACATTATATTTTATTGGAACTTATCCTATATATATATATATATATATACTATTTTATTGAAACTTATCCTGATATATATTTATAATATA